CTACTCTGCAACATTTAACTGAACATCTTTCATCATTTCCACCATCTTCTGACATTTTACAAACCAAATGACGAATTGAAAAAAAATTGACAGTGAAAGTAAACGTCGTGACCTGATCGGCTTCATTCTTTAGTTTTTTAAAGCTCCAGCTGTGTGAGAAACATTGAAGCTGCTCAGCTTCTGTCTGTGAGCATCGAGTAGCAGAGTCAGGGTTCAAGTTTCTGAATTAGCTGGGAGTTTATTTAAAAACACTATTTCGGCCCCAGTGACCCCTGCTTTACAAAACCTTTACATGAGGTTTTTTTTTGTTCAGCTGTATGAAAATAAGATAAAAGTAAACTATACTGATATAGATGTGATAAAGTGAAATAATTCCTGCATGGCAAAGATGAGTAACTTCATGAAAAAACTAGGATTTTCTACTAGAACTACATCGATTAATCAGTTCAGTTTATGGGTTCTTTCCTCCTTTGTGACAGTAAACTTCATGTCTTTGGATTGGGGACAAAACGAGGCGTTTTTTTCATCTTTGGGAAACCGTGATCAACATTTGTTTTATTTTTTTGACCCAACAACTAAGTGATTAATCGAAAAATCGACCGACATATCTATCGACTGTGAAAAATAATCATTAGCTTCATTGTTTTAACGCTAACAAAACAACTTTTGACACGTCAATCTCGGCAAGAAATGTAAATTCCTGTCTGTGAGCGTCAGGTGTCGGCACTATTCGGCTCCTACAAGTTCCTCGATCACCTGGGTGTTTGTTTGAGAACATTTAAGATGAAAAATTCAATTAAAAAACATTATCTAGGCCCCAGCGAGAATTGAACTCGCGACCCCTGGTTTACAAGACCAGTGCTCTAACCTCTGAGCTATAGGGCCCTTGGTGGTTGGGCAGAAGGTGATCATCAAGACAAAGACGACGAAGCAGAGCAGGTTTGGGTGTGGAGCATACTTCAGGTGTGTCTCTGCAGCACTAGACAGCTGAAATCACCAACAGTTATGTAATCATTTACGATCCAAACATTTTCATCCTTCAGGTAGCTCCGTGTCCAGGCGTGGACGTTCCTTTCGGGGTTCTCAGTCTCAGCTGCTCCTGGATTTACCTCTACGCACCCAGAGCCAGTGTAAGTGAATGCACATTCGCAAACTGTTTTCCGCTCGGAACGAGCTCCTAAATTTCCTGCTCTCGTTTATTTCCCAGTGAGCGGCATCGACTGCGTGCCCCTGACGGACGCCGTGCACCAAGCCAAGCAGTACTCCTACCACCTGAGGCCTCACAGCGCAGGACAGGGGACGAGAGGCCGCGGAAAACACTGAAAAAACGCACACCTTTGATGTTTTCTCAGCTGGCCGGCGGCTCTCGGCTCTATAGAATTACTCCGCGCATTGTTCGCTCAATGCGCCGAGATTTCTAAAATTAAGCCCGGCGTGACATCAGAGCCATGACCTCACGGGGTGGGGTTAAGTCTACAGAAACGGTGTGTGTAAAAGATAACCTTTCATCCATTGTGGAAGGAACACATACACACTCGGTCGCCCTCGCTGTACGCCGCTCCCGCACACACACTGAGATAACCTTTCCTCCCGTTGTGGAGAATGAGGCGGTCTATCAACAGCCGGTCATACAGATAGCCCACCTGCAGCTGCCGACACACAAAAACACACACAAACACACACCACACTATACACACCGGTCTGGTCTTTAAGTGCTTTCCCCCTCAAGAGAAACATGCATTTCTGAACTATGCAGTTGTTTTTTTTGTTTTTTTTCTCCTGCGCTATATTTGCACAAAAATAACCCCTATTGTGTCATTTTTATAAATACATACCTCAGTGTTTCTTTCTTTCTGTAAAAAAAAAAAGAATAAAATAAAAACTGAAAAAAAAAGAAACTGCACTTTGTTTTGTCTTTATTCTGTTCTTCTTTCCCCATTTTAGTTGTTTTTATTTTATTCTAAAGTCACTAGTTACCTGAGAAAGCTCCATGTCCAGCAACAAAAATACTTAAAGAGAACAATCACAGGGCTAAGAACAAAGCAGTTCTTTCCTCCTCTATGACAATAAACTGAATATATTTAGGTTCTGGACAAATTAAGACATTTGTCATTTTGTGCTTTGGGAAACACCGACCCTTTATCACAAATTTCTGACATTTTATAGACGGAACAACGAATTGAATAATCCCAAAAAAATAAAAATAAAAATGACCGTCACACCAGTCTTTAAGTGCTTTCTCTCTGAACAATGCAGTTGTTTTTCTGTTACTATATTTGCACAAAAGTATCCCAGATTGTGTATTTTTTTTAATAAATACAGTTGTCCTCAGATGTATTCATACCCTCCGATTAAAGAAGGGGAAAAAAACAGCTGTCACTGAAATAAGTTGAAATTGAGAAGAGCAATAATAAACAGAAAATAATGAAAATCATGACGTTGCTTTTGAATTGTGGTTCAACAGAAATATATTTAAAAAAGAACACACACACACACACACTATATTTAGTTGAACAACCCTTTGAGCCAATCACTGCCATCAAGTGTTTTCTGTAACTCTCAGTCAGACTTCTGCACCTGTTGACAGATATTCTGACCCACTGCTCATCAGCAAAGTGCTCTAATTTGTCCAGGACAGTTTTTGTTTGTTTGTTTGTTTTAATTATTCTTTTCAACCGCAATTCAAAAGCAATGTCTTATTTCACTAAATTATAATTTAGCAAATTTTTATTTATTAATACTTTTTTCAGTTTCTAGTTATCTGAGTGACTACTGTGAATTTTGCCTTTTCTTTAATGGAAGGAGATGAATACATTTGAGGACCACTGTACATACTTCAGTGTTTCTTGTGTTATGTAAAAAAAAAACAAAAAAAAAAGAAAAGAAACAAACAAAACAAACTGAACTTTCATTTGCACTTTTATTCTGTTTTTTTTTCCCATTTTAGTTTCTTTCTTTTTTTTATCCAAAGTTACAGGTAAACAAGAAAGCGCTGCGTTTAAGCAAATGGAACAAACAACCTCCAGGCCAAGAATGAAGCAGTAAACAGACACAGAAAAGAGTTCCTAAAACAAGAAAGTGGAGTATTTTTTAACAGAAAACATCCCGCTGTATCTCTTTCTGTGTGCTTTGTCACTACTGAGCTCTGTGTTGAGTCTGTGAGATGTCTGTGAGAGGGAACACACCGGGTGCTGCCGGGTCAGTACATGTCTCGAAGGCCCAGATTTCCACGATGAGCCGAGGAGCCGTGAGCGACGGTGACGCTGTAACAGTAGAGCAGGTCGGTCAGCCACTGCTCCCTGGTCGCGCCGCGGGAATACCTCTGAAAAACACAAACACCGAGTGTAAGCAGGGGATCAGCCTCTAACGAAGGCTGATTAGCATCTGTAAACGTCTCACATGGTGAAAATCCATTTATTTTGGGCCTCGTGTGTCTTAAAAACCTGGAGGTGTAAAATAAAAACGAAGACATTTACTTCTTCCATTCGTCAACTAGATAACCTCCAAGTCAGTAAGAATTGTATCCAGTTATTACGTATAATTCTGCACCTTCACTGCATCTTAGTCCACCAGGTTTATTTAGTTTTGCTTCTGCTAACTTTAACCCTATTCAGGACTTTCATGTTTCCACACGTAGAAGGTCTTTTGGGGTTCACTGGACCCCAAGAAAGAATATGTGCAAAATATTTGTTGGTATTGATTATAGACTTGTATACGATGTTAAATACATTTTCTGATAAATTGATGTATTTTAAAAACAATACTGGTCACCTGAACCAAATGGCCTGGGGTCCAAAAGACCCAAAAAGTCCTGAATAGGGTTAAAATCTGTCAGCAACAAGCAAAGTTCACCAAACATTCTGCTGTTGGCTGCAAAAGTGAACACAAGAGTCCTCATGCACTCCCAGCATCTGAGAAACTGAAGATCTAGTGGCTAACTTTTATTATTGATGGCAACCACAACAAGTTGTGTGGCTAGTATGGCTAACACTACCATTAGTTTTAGTAATTCCAAGTCCCAGAATGTTTGCCATGTGACTCGTGATCTCAGCTGAGTCAGTGTTCTGCTTGTTTGCATCGAGGTCGGTGGATTTTTTTAGTTTTTCACAGCTTCAGTTGCTATTTTTGGCAAATGTTTTAAATAAGACGTGCAGAATAAAGCAAGTTTAGGCTTATTTTTCACATCAACCGAATAAAGAATAACTCCTTAGTGTTAGCATGCTGTGTGGCTAATTTGTGTGCGTGACCACAGGTAACACTGATGGATATTTAAAGACGGTGCAAAGTTTAATTCGAAGCCAATAAACAAGGACTGGCTGGGTTACTGTGTTTTCATCAGCTGTGTTTCAGTTCAACCTAAACTCAGCAGCTGCTCTGTTCTGTTCTGTTTGCTTCTCTCCTGCTCTCTGTGCTCACATAAACTGCATTTTATTACAGCTGAATTCTCACATAAGCTGTTCTCATTTACATATTTTTGTGCTTCGGTTGTCAGACAGCAGAACGAGGATGAAATAGTGACTGAAACACAGCCAATTACAACAAACCAGCTCCTGTTCTTCTGAAAAACGCACAATTAGGAAAAGTTAGAAACAACTCTGCTGTGAATTCTGAGATATTACTATAAATTGGTCGCTTGGAGAGACACAAAGTTCTGGTCGCACTCATTTATGTCTGCAGTTGCCTGTCGTGCCACAGAGACAGTCTACTTCCTGAAGAGGGCGTGGCCAGCAGCATTTTAACTACACTTAAGCTCCAGACACTGAAACAGCTCGTTTAGAACAGGACTGAAACCAGGAGTTACACAATCATCGTGCATTTAAACATTTTTTGCAATGTTTTAAAGCAGAAAAATTGAGAGGGAACACACAAGACTTTCAATAATTTACTGAAAAGGGGCACAATGTGGAATCCTTACCAAGTGCAAGGGTGCTGTGTGCTTACCGTGAGGTGCTGTATGATCTCCTGCAACAGAGCAGTGTTGGCCAGCAGCTGGTTGTGAAGCGACGTGTGCTGCAGCAGCATCGAGAGAATCTGTCCGAGCTGCGGCAGTTCCTCCTCGTTCAGTTCGCTAACGCGCAGCAACTGCAAAACCATCCGCAGCAGGCGAGGAACGCTGCCCAGCGCCGTCACACAGGCGCCCCAGATGGCATCCCTGCAAATGTGGCACAAGAGAGTGTTAGATCCAAATGTTAGACATAAATCCATCACCTGACATCAGTAAACAGCTATTAGAACCAACCTGAGCCACAAAACTGTGTATGTTATCTTAAAAAAGCCAAATTTTCTGAATTAGAAACTAAAAAAAACCCAAAAAAACCCCATAAAGAATCATTAAATTTTCTACTATCAGATTGTTCTTGAACTAATCGTGTGATGTTCAGTTGGTAAAATTAACCAAATCTGAGCCTAATGTTTTGCCCTTTCATCAAAATCTTTCTAGTCTACACGTCTAAATGCACTGATTGGTCTAACCAGATTCTGTAAAAAAAAACCTACAAATTCTGCGTTCCTCAGCACAACTGAAAAGCCAGGAGAGACTCAGGCACAAGTAACAGTCAACTCACAAAAATTCAGAGTTGTTGGCTGAACTGCAGGATGTGTTTATGCAAATCAGATAGTAGACAGGTATGGAAACAGATTACAGAGATTGGGAGCAAAATAAAACATACTTGAGCGATAAAATAAATATGGCATGGCTCAAAAACTGTATACAGAGGAGCACGTTGTTAGATGACTCATTCAGCACAGTGAAACATCTTTCTATAGTTGAAGCGCGAGTTGGAAATCCATCCATCCATTATCTATACACCACTTAATCCTCACTAGGGTCGTGGGGGGCTGGAGTCTATCCCAGCTGACTCAGGGTGAAGGCAGGGGACACCTGGACAGGTCACCAGTCTATCACAGGGCTACACTTAGAGACAGACAACCAAGCACACTCACATTCACACCTATGGACAATTTAGAATCACCAATTAACCTCAACATGTTTTTGGACCTTGTGGGAGGAAGCCAGAGAACCCGGAGAGAACCCACGCTGCATGGAGAGAACATGCAAACTCCACGCAGAAAGATCCGGGTGTCCTCACCAGGACCCGAACCGGCGACCTTCTAGCTGCGGGGCAACAGTGCTGAGTTGGAAATGCCTTTTATAAAATTATGTCTGTCCTTATAACTGTGTCATTCTGCACAGAAGACATTTCTGAGTTCTCTCTACTTGTGGCCATGATTGTGTTGTTTCCATAGAGGTGCAGGACTTCATATTGCAGTGAAAAATGATCCCACAGAGAGGAAAAATGTGACAGGAGCAAAACAACGCCCAGTATCTGCCTGGGGTTTCAGAGGGTTAAAGTCAAAATTCTACATCATAATTTCCAAGTAGTTTTCAAACACACCTTTTGTGGTTGGTTTCAGCCGGCTGCAGGGTGACCAGCAGCGCCAGCAGACTGAGGCAGCACTGAGACAGGAATCGCAGCACGGGTTCTAGCGGCAGGACGGACAGATCCAGCAGTCTGGACACAGCTCTCAGCAGTCCGGCCGCCATGCTGTCAGGAACCACCCCCAGCTTGGTCTGACACACAAACATGATGGTTTCTTCAATACTACATGCACAGATAGTACAATTAAACTCACTGTGGCTGACAAACAGAAAACAGTTTCCTACCAGGTATTTGCAAACGCCGTTTTGCACGATGTCGAAGCACTGCGACTTTGAGCCCAGCATTTCCAGGCAGTGGCACACTTCCTACGAATCGAAAAAGATCCATAAAATAAATATCCATAAAACATGTTTGCAGCTTACAAATGACAGAATTTGAGC